CATAATAATACTACTTGTTACCACTTTAGTTAGTGCCTATCATGTGGCAAGCACTCCTCATGAGTTATAGTCTCATCAAAACTCATTACAATTCATAATAGCTGTGAAGTAGATATTATTAGTGAGATTTTATACATGAGGAAACTGAAGCTTCAAGAAGTGATGTAATTTGCTGTAGCTAACAAAGTTTCTAAGTAGAGAAGCAGGGATTCTAATTCAGGTCTGATTTCAAAGCTCAGGCTTTTTCCATTATAAAACATTAACTTGAACAACCATTTTAAAAATCAGTTCACTATTCTACGTACTTTATGCCCAGATGCATAAAGCAATGTATGCGTTAATACACTAGGTCTCATGACAGAGATTAAAGAATAATGTTACATTTTTAATTAATCTCTACATAGGTTTCTTTTGCTTTTACCTTTGCATCATGGAGAATTTTAAACATGTATAAAAGTAGAAAAAACAGTGTAATAAACTCCCATACATAAATCATCCAGCTTCAACAAGTGTCAATTTACAGTCAACCTTATCTTATCTATACTCACCCTGCTTCTTTCTTGCCTCCCATATTACTTGTCAGACATTATATCTTTAAATATCACAGCATGCCTCTCTCTAAAATAAAGAACTCTTTAAAAAAATTAACCATAATACCACTGCCACACTGAAAAAAAAAGGTAGTTTTCTAATAACATAAAATGACCAATGTTCAAATTTCTAATTCTCTCATAGTTGTCATTTTTTATATAGTTTGCTTGACTCAAAATGCACATAAAATCCATACATTCATTGGTAAACCTCGTAAATCTCTTAATTTACCATTAACACGGCTTTACAATTTCCTTACTCACTTAACACTATTTGTTTTTGCCAGGCTATATTTTTATTTGTTTGCTTGTTTGTGTGTTTTGAGACAGGGTCTCGTTCTGTCTCCTAGGCTGAAGTGCAGTGGTGCAATCTCGGCTCACTGCAGTCTCAGTCTGCTGGGCTTAGGTGAACCTCCCACCTCAGCATTCCGAGCAGCTAGGACCACAGGCCTACCACCATGCCCAGCTAATTTTGTTTTTTTGTAGACTCAGAGTCTCACCATGTTGCCCAAATTGATCTCAAACTTCTGGGCTCAAGTGATCTACCTGCCCTCAGCCTCCACAGGCATAAGCCACCGTGCCTGGCCTGCCAGGCTATATTATTTGGCATCAATTTACTATGACCTGAATGTAGGCTTGCCAAATCTCATCTCAAATGAGATTTTTAAGCTTCACAAAGTAGAATTTGTTCATATGGAAATATATTGAATAATTTTCTCAGAAACCCTTTACACCTTCCATAGAGATACTCAAAGAATCTTTAAGCCGGCAAGAGATTCCACTGGCCCATGTTTACCACTATAACAAATGTAATGTGAGTGACCACTGAACAAAAAAGAAAATTTATTAAATATAATATTCCCATTGTCTTACCTAGATTTTTATTTAAATATTATGTCATTTGTTTTAGACTTTGGGCCTATTGTGGGAAATTCAATCTAATTCAATGAATTTTTTTATAGCAATAAATTTTGAAATATAAACATTATACCTTGTAATCAAATCTTTGATTTAAAAAACCGTCATTAACTCATTTTATAAAAGGGGAAACTGAAGTAAATGAAGGAAATCAGTTTGCTCAACAACTTTAAGTAATATTGTCGTCAAATCTAAGGACAACATTGATATCATTGTTTAGACAGCCAATTGATATCACCTTTTAGATATTGATTACTGAAATGATAAAAATTCCATGGCAAAAAATTCTAATGGCTTTTCTGTGTAACTTTAAGTAAAAAATTAAGTAGAAAAAAAAATTAAGCAGGACATGAATTATCAAAGCAATATTATGTCTTATTGTCAAGTAAAAATAAAAAGCCTTTTTCATGTTCTCCAATTATGTTTAAGCTCATTAAAAGTGCCCTTCCATTTATATCTCCTCCACATTAAAGTAATATATTCTTTGGATCATGTTTTATTTTCCCTATTTCCTTTTTGAAATAAACATCATTCAGGAAGTTGACAGTGGACCAATAAGAAAACCTAGGTGGAAATGTGAGAGAAAGAATTACCACTAATGTACCATTATTATAAATAGAAACTACTGGCTTTTTTTCACTATGTCCAGATTACTACTAATCCTCAACAACACTTGCAATGAAACAGTGAAAAACAGTCATGAAGAGTATGGGCTCTCGACCTCTGGAGATAATGGGTTTCTTATTGGGGTGATGAAACATCCTGATATTAGAGAGTAGTGATGGTTGCACAACTTGTACTATACTATACTATACTATACTATACTATACTATACTATACTATGCTAAATACCATTAACTGTATCCTTTAAAGGGGTAAATTTTATGGTATGTGAATTATATCTCAATAAGGCTGCTAATTTTTTTTTTTTTTTTTAGACAGTTTCACTCTTGTTGCCCAGACTGGAGTGCAAAGGCACAATCTCAGCTCACTGCAACCTCTGCCTCCCAGGTTCAACTGATTCTCCTGCCTCAGCCTCCCAAGTAGCTGGGACTACAGGCATGTACCACTATGCCCGGCTAATTTTTTGTATGTAGTAAAGACGGGTTTCACCATGTTGGTCAGGCTGGTCTCAAACTCCTGACCTCAGGAGATCCACCCACCTTGGCCTCCCAAAGTGCTAGGATTATAGGCATGAGCCACCACGCCTGGCCAAGGCTGCTATTTTTTAAATGTGTGCTACTAAAAGGATTTACAAATTGTGGGTCTTTTATAATTAAAGACTGTTTTCCTTCCAGGCACCAGACCTGGTTTAGTTCAAATATCTTGAAGAACCCAAGTGTGTATTTAGGCAGATGCAGAGTTAATAAAATTCATCCCATCATCTTCTTGTACATAGGGTCCTGTCACAGATAAAAATGCTCAGAAAGTTTGGGGCCACCATTTCAATTCTTTCTCGCTCCCATCCCAACAACACCCAGTCTTCCAGGGCTTTTAAGATTATTCTGCTAGTTGTTCTCTTTCTTACTTATTTCTAATCTTTTCACAATCTTAAATTGTCCTGTTGTGCCTTATCTAGACCAGTTACTGCTCCCACCCATCCCACCAGCTTCTGAAGTACATAATCAGCTAAGGTCTGATCAAAAGGGCAAGGTAAAAGGTACCCTCCCACTCACTGCCCCCTCAAAAAATATCTGTGAGAAGGCATGAGACTGGGGGCAAGGGCATGAATTTTTCTATTTCGCCTTTCCTTATATTTACTTCCAAATGCACAAAGATTTTGCCACATATATTTAATCAATGTCAAGAGGCAAATACAGTTTTCTGTTCTAAATAAACTATTTTCACTTGTCTCCTTGGCTGCTCTGCCTCTGTCCTCTTTCCAAGAGAGAAAGGGTGTGTAGAAGCTGCTTTGTGTTGAAAGATGACTGCAGTGCCACCATTATAAGAATCTGGTAAGCTGTGCCCTTTGTCTTTTTTAGTCCCATATAGTCTCTTGCGTTAAGCTCCAAAATTATTTTCTCTTCTCAACCTATTACTATACTGCATCCCCGACACTAATTCTTTATTTTTCCTTTAGGTAATTAATTCTACCCTCACAGTTCCATTCATTTCTGCCAGTTCACAATCACGTTCTTCCCCCTGTGGATTTTGGTTAACATCTGTTAAACCCTGAACTATAGGGCCATCCCCTGAATAGTGTATTTCACATTTTGCAAAGCAAACTGCCAAATTATTACATAAAATTATCTACTGCTCAATCTATGTTTTCAGCTATAAATGCTTTAGAACAGTGAGATATGTAGTAACGGCACATCACATTATGTAAAATAGAATAAGTCCTCTGGCTTTAATTTACAAGAGTCAAGAAGCTTTGAAAATAAGATATTTTTATTTATTAAAGACAGCTTTAAAAGAAAGCTTTATAAAAACTTGAAATACACTAAAAGTATGAGCTAGAAAAATAACAATTTTAATAAAACTATTATAATCACTCACAAAATAATTTATTTAAAACATTACTGTTTACTAAGGTTGGATACAGTGACAACATTAAGAGAATAAAAAGTACTTTAAAGTTTACAATTGGTTAAGAAAGTTTTAGAGCAAAATAGTTTATAAAGCTATTTGTAAGTTTGATCTAAAACTCTGTGATTCTCTGGGAAAATAAAGCCCCTCCATTTATAATAAATTAAAATAATTAATATTCAGGTTGATGTTTCTGACATTCTCAACCAGAGTACTAAAAAGAAGGAAGGCAAATACTTTAAAAGACATCCCCTCAAACAGTTTGAATTAAAAAAAAAAATTCAATTCTGAATCTTTTAAAAATGTGTTTTAATCCTGGATTTTTTTTTTTTTAATTTTGCACACAGCTGTCTGTAGTACTTTTTAGAATCATGCCAGATGCTGGGTTCATCAAGCAAAAGCAGGAAAACAATGGTTTGAAAGCAATTAGAAGCACTGAGGCTGCAGCGAGGCTCATATTAAAATGTGATAACACTGTTCTAGTGGGAATTTCAACACTGCTCCATTTCTGACATTTCTCTGCTGCCAGACAGGCAGGCTGTGTGGAAGGGCACTGTGATCGAGGAGGTAACATACTGGAATTTATTTCTGGAGCAAATGAAGGATTAGCTGAGTTGGAACCCTCCCAAGGTTTTTATTATGGACTCGGCTACCATTTTATTTGAATGCCACTGGATCCTGTTTGGACCTAACAAAGCTCAAGGAATAAAAGCATATTATAGCTTTGATTTTATAAAATAATATAGCAAAAATCCACGCAGAAGGTAGAAGCACAGAGCCTCTTGTTGCTAAAAAGCAGGGCAGGGGGGCACAGCAGGGTGAAGGTTAATTAAACACTCCACTAACTTTCCTTGGAAATGGCTAATGCCACTCTGTGGAGAAGTCTGTAGAGAAGAGACAGAAGTAAACAATCCCATTTACACATTTTTAGCATAAAATCATACGTGGTCAAAGAGGACTCACCTTGGGGTTGAAAATCCCAGTAGTACCTGAAATACAAGGAAAAAAGGAGGATAAGTCAAAGTTGTATTTCTCAATTTTGGTTGGCTTACCATAGCTATAGTACCTGGTCCAAAAAGCTTGCTAAAGTCTATAACCAGCCAAAGACACTACTCACTTTGAGAAAAACAAAATGTTGTCCCTAAGATTTGAAAGAGTCTCAATGGCTTAAAAGATGCATTTAATTCACTGTACTTCCTCAGATAATTTTGATGTTAGAGCTGAAAAGGTCCTAAAGGGAACCCAGCAGTGGCTTGGGGTTTCTCATCAAGAGCTCTACAGGCTTTCAGCAGGATGGTTTTTTGTTGTGACAATCTGGCCTGTGTATTATAGGACCATTAGCATCACTGGTCCTGGACACCAAACACCAGAGGCACTCCCAGTTGTTACAACAGTCAAACCCCACCACCAACACCAACACATCCTGAAATGCCTCTTAAGCCTAATTTTTTTTTTCTCTGTTACCCAGGATGGAGCACAGTGACACAATCATAGCTCACTGCAGCCTCGAACTCTTGGGCTTTGCCTCTTAAGCCTAAATTCTTAATTTTATAAGTGAAACATAACACTCTACTTAAGGTTGTCTAACATTTTCCTGTCTGAGCCAAGGATGGGGCTCTTGCAGTCCACTGTACCTTCCTATCTCCTCTATTATTTTGGGAAATGATTGGCAAAACTGACAACCTTTGAAGTCTTTTTTTTTTTTTTTCTGAGACCGGGTCTTGCTCTAACACCCAAGCTGGAATGTAGTGTCATGAACATCACTCACTGCAGCCTTGACATGCTGGGCTCAAGAGATCTTCCTGCCTCAGCCTCCCATGTAGCTGGGACCACAAGCATATACCACCACATCTAGCTAATTTTTGGTTTTCTGTAGAGATGAGGTCTCATTTTGTTGCCCAGGCTGGTCTCAAACTCTTGGGCTTAAGCAATCCTCCCACCTCACCATCCCAAAGTATTGGGATTACAGGCATGAGCCATTGCATCCAGCAACCCTTGAAGTCTTAAACTAACAAAATAGCAATGGTGGAAAGGATCATTTGTAAGTTACTTATTTGGAAACTAAATTGCATTTCTTTCCCCACAAAAACAATGTTATATATGATGGTTATCCAAGAAGGTCTACTATATTTTGGATCCCATTTCCTCCTACCTTCACAGGAACTTTATATTATTCTTTATCGGTTTTTCTCCTCTTCCTCTCAGTTTGACCCCTTTCCATCAGCATTTATGCTCATATAAAAATAAAGCAAACCCTCCCTCAGCCCTTCACATCCCTTCACCTGCTGTCCTGTTTCCCTTCACGTCACAGTGACATTTTCAAAAGCACTGTCTACACTTGGCTCATTTTATTCCCTCACTGCCCACTCACTCAACATCCTCCAGTCAGGCTCATAGACACTGCACATTAACTCTTGCTATAGACATAATAACCTCCATACCAGCAAATATAAGGGATACTTTTCTATCCTTTTCTTGACCTCTCAGGAGTATATATGTGCGTGAGAAGTTACTTATTTATTTATTTATTTATTTATTTTTACCTAGGGAGGGAGTCCACAGTTTTTACAGAATTCTTTTGTAGGGGTGCCCAAGGGAGAGAATAGTCATGGGTTCTTAGTTTCTGTTTCTGGTGGGCCAGCAAAGCCCCTTCCTCATCCCTCTTTTCCACTTATCACTAGAGAAATAAACTAAAAATCATGGCTTCAGTCTGCTGAAAGCCTAATCCAAAACAAAACAGAACAACAACAACAACAACAACAACAAAATAAGGCAGGATTAGACAAGCTTGCAGTTTAAAGAGTCCATAAACTCAAAAAAGAAGCAGAAAAGGACAATACATAGGTGATAATGATGTGTCTTCTAGTACATACATGACTAAAATTAGGCTTGGCTTCTTCAGGGAGGAGTATCAGCCTAGTGAGTATGTTTGTTATTTCTTTACTGTGTGATACGTTTTCAGAAAATGAAGATAGAAGAGGTCAGTGGAGAGGAAGGATGTTGCCATAGGCCACAGGTGAATTTAACATTATCAAAGATAAGAAAGTGGAGAAGAAACTTGACAATTTGAATTTCCTTGTTCCTTTCCTTTTCCAGAACAGTTCTGGCTGGCAATCAGGTGAAGAGAAATGTAAGATACTTGGATTAGAGCACAAGGAAATTTCAGGACAGCTTTGACATCTGCAGTAGCAAAGGGGAGAGGAAGGAGCAGAGGATGGGGTGAAAAGTGGAAAGCTTCAAAAGCTGGGAAGAAGGAGTGTCCATATCAATGTAGGGGCATATGTAAGCTGAAACTGAAATAAGTTGTGAATAATAGTATGATGGGTCAATCTCCACCTAGCAGACAGTGCAGCTTTCCACTGTACCTGGCCGCCATGAAGAGTTTTCCATAAAACTCCTTTCTGTAAAATATAGCTAATCAAGCAAATCATCAAATGGCTGAGCAATTTTCCATCTGCTCTTGCTATTTTTTCATCTTCTCTTGAGGCACTGCCCTAGTCCCCAATTTCTATCAGTACCCAACTTCTAATTTAATATAAATAGAAATTAGGGTTTCAGTATGTGCATATATGTATGTGCACATGTGTATGTACTCCCTCTATCTCTCTCTCTTCTTTCCAAAATATTAATGATGGCAACACAAGAACTGTGCTAACTAATGCTGTTCTCATTTATTGGCCCAGAAAAAACCCCAGTCATACAGTGGCAGTTAAAAAGTGCTCTAGGTAAATTGTTAAATAGGCAAAGTATGTTATTGACGTTGATCTCAGCCTCTTCTGTGCCTCCCTCTCCCATAATGCCCACTCCAACTAACACACATTTTCAGTCCTTTTCTCTACCTACTTTAAAGTACCCCGGCTTCCTGGATTCTCTTGTTAGTCATGAAGAAATATGATCTTATAAGTCACATATACTAAAAGTATTGCTTCTGCCAATAGTAGTTATATCTTAAGAACTCAACAGTATCAAATAAAGTAGTAGGTCCAACTAGTTGATGTTAAATAGCAGAACCTGCTTTATTCTTGGTAATACTATAATTAAATATTTCTGTCGAACTTTCAATTATAAGATGAATAAATTCTGAGGATCTAATCTACAGCATAGTGACTATAGTTAATAATACTGTATTACATACTTGAAATTTGGTAAGAGAGTAGATTTTAAGCATTCTTACCAAAAAAAAAAAAAAAAAAAAAAAAAAAAAAAAAGGCAACCATGTAAGCTATGTAAGGTCATGAATGTATTAATTAATATGATTATGGTAATAATTTCACAACGTGTATGTGTAGATATATAATCATATTGTGCATTTTAAATATATTCCACTGCATTTGTCAATTTAAAAAGATCTGAGGTTGAGTGTGGTAGCTCATACCTGTAATCCCAGCACTTTGGGACGCCAAGACAAAAGGTTTGCTTGAGCCCAGGAGTTCAAGACAAGCTTGAGAAACATGACAAAACCCCATCTCTACAAAAGTACAAAAATTAGCTGTACGTGGTAGCACATGCTAGTCCTAGCTACTCGGGAGGCTGAGGTGGGAGGATTACTCGAGCCCAAAAGGTTGAAGCTGTAGTTAGCTGTGATTGTACCACCGCACCCCAACTTCAGTAATAGAACGAGACCCTGTCTCCAAAAAAAAAAAGAGAGAAAATTCTGACAATAAAAATCATATGTAGAACTTGATGTGGAACAACAGCATGAAATAAAATGTTAGTTCCCGTCTTTTTCAGAAGGTATCTTGCTATCCTACCTTTTCTCCCTCTAAATATTATTTATGGATTAACCCTGCAGGAAGGTTTTTTTTTTTTTTTTTTTTTTTAAAGACACAGCTCTATTCCGTAGCTCACAAAAAACACTTCTAAAGGAAAGCCCAAAAGTGAGCAATTGCATCCCTCACTGGAGGGCACCACAGATTAGTCTCTGCTGGACTCCTTTAAGATCTTGGTCTTGTCTTGTTAAAGATACCCAATGGGTGGCCTTCATCATGTTCTCTGAAACTATAATTCCACAATAGAGAATTCTATACTCTTCAGGAGGCATTTAGTAAAATCCTGCCAACATCTTCCAATTCTTACCCTTTTTCTGAAAACAGTTCTCCTTTAACCAGAGAGTCCAACAAGACTGAAACTAGAAATTTTAAACCAAAATACAAAGACCATAATAGAAGCATACAGAAGAAAAAGCATATAAATGCACACATACAGAGTTGTGTTTATCCTGAAAGCCTCTGAGAATTTTATATCAGGCCTGTGCAGATAGATAACAAACACTTCTTTAATCTTCTCTTTGAAGCTTCAGCTTCAATAGGAAAGGGAAGCTATCACTCCTCTGCAATATCCATACTCAATGTCATCAGGACCATGCAAATGATATTTGGAACTGAAAAATGATGAGTACAGAATGAGCAGAGAGAGAATGTTGCAACCATATTGATGATGATCATTTTCACATTCAGTAAAAATAAACCCATCTTCACTTGTGCCTCCAAAAGTGAAAATGGAAGAATAAAATCTCACAATATTTTCTCTATGCTACAGAACAGTCTTAAAATTTTATTATTACATTGTATGCTAGACAGAGTTTGCTATTTGTGTGTCCAAATTGAAGATGTTTTGGCCAGGCGTGGTGGCTCGCGCCTGTAATCCCAGCACTTTGGGAGGTCAGAAGTTTGAGACCAGCCTGACCAACATGGTGAAACCCTGTCTCTACTAAAAATACAAAAAAATTAACTAGACATGGTGGTACATGCCTGTAATCTCAGCTACGTGGGAGTCTGAGGCAGGAGAATCACTTAAACTCAGTAGGTGGAGGTTGCAGTGAGCCGAGATCACGCCACTGCACTCCAGCCTGGGTGACAGAGAGAGACTTTGTCTCAAAAAGAAAAGTTTTAATTGAAGTTTAGGTCAGGTGTAGTGGTTCACACCTGTAATCCAAGCACTCTGGGAGGCCAAGGCGGGTGGATTGCTTGAGCCCAGGAGTTTGAGTCCA